CAATCAGCTGCAGCTGATCCAGAACGCTGCTGCTCACGTTCTCACTAAAACCAGGAAGATAGACCACATAGCACCACTTTTAAAGTCCTCACAGTGGCTCACAATAGCTCAAAGAATAGTTTAAAATACTGTTGTTAGTTTACAAATCACTGAACGGTTTAGCACCACAATACATCAAAGATCTGCTGTTGTTGTTTCAACCTTCCAGACCTCTCAGGTCTTCTGGTTCTGGTCTGCTCTGCATCCCCAGAACCAGAACCAAATGAGGAGAAGCAGCATTCAGCTTCTGTGCACCACAAATCTGGAACAAACTTTCAGAAAACTATAAAACTGCTGAAACACTGACTTCCTTTAAATATTGACTAAAAACCCACCTGTTTAGAGTAGTATTTGAAATGTAATCAATTAAGAAATTAATGATGGCACGTGACTTAACGTAATATTTTGATTGTTGATTCTATATTACACGACTTTGTGTTTTTGTGTTTGTTATGATGTAAAGCACTTTGAAATGTCTTGCTGCTGAAATGTGCTTTATAATTTTTTTTTGATTGATTGATAAACACTAGCTGTGAATAAACAATCAAACTCATTGAATTTTTTTCAACCACAAATGTTAATTGAATATTTTTTGCAAAAGTCTGGACATTTAACTTTTTACATAGCATTACAACAATTAACATCCAGAAATAATTTAGTCTGCAACACAAAATGGGCCTTGATAATTTGCCAAAACACAACAGTTGTGCCAGATTTGATTGACAGTTCCTATTAAAGTGAGAGGCACCGGGGAATCCCAGATGTGGTTGCACTTTACTCTAGCGATTGCTCGCTCTACAATGATCCGCAGCCGAGCAATGGTCCGGGTCTCCTCTGTCTCTTCCTTGCTGCACTGACCAGGATGCCTAAATGGTGGAATGATGAGTTTGGCTCCAACTTCATGAAGGAGGTCTTGAATGAGGAAGCCTTTATCTGCCATGACTTCATCTCCCAGCTCAAGCAGAGGAAGGATTCCACTGACCTTTGTTATTTCTTTGTCGGAGATGCAGCCTATGTACAACGCAGAAATAAATGTCACCAACCCACAGGGAGCAACTCCAATCAGCCCTTTCAGAGTGGTGTGGTTCTTGTAGGCAGAGAACGTTTCAGACTGTAAGGTGAGGGATGATGTCGTTTCCAGAGCAACTTCTGTGCAGTCCAAGATGACACGAACATTTGGAGAGAACTTCAGAAATTTCTGAGGCTTACTGGCTTTTACCTTCTCACGACTAATCCACAGGTTGATGGAAGAGAACACAATGAAGAGGTAGTTGGCCCAGGTGATGGTCACTCGGCTGACAGTAGCTATGCTGACTTGAAACATGTCAGCAATGAGCTGCTCCTTCATGCCCACTGCTACCCTGAATGAGTACATCAGAAACTCATCAATCAGAGACATGCAGCAGGCAGGGCTGGCTTCAGGACATGCTTCCTCTCCAAGTTTCTGTGCTCTGGTCCAGAACACCAGGAGTGATGCAGAGGGTGCAATGGACTCCCAGAAGATCCGGAACACACGTTCAGATGGAAATTTGGTGTAGAACTGGATCTGGTCATCAGAGGCACAGTAGCGGCTAAAAAGTGTGGGAGACAAATCCACTTTTTGAAGTCTGGAAGTTGTCCAACCCAACATCCGCTTTCCAACCCGGAAGCGTGAAAAAGGTCTATAAATGGAAGAGTTGTTAATATAAAAAAATGGCCCAGTCAAAATCCAAACCAAAATCTGAGATAAATCCTCTCCGTTTAATCTGACTGAGTCTGAGTTATTCTTCAAAGAAGAAAAAAAGTAGTCCTCTAGAAAAGCAAAAATGATACCCCAAATAGACTTGCAGCTGTTCCTACTGAAAAAAAAACTTGAGACAACAAAAACCTTTTGAATGATTTTATCATAACAGGGATATTTTAAAGTTCCTATCAGAGTTGGGAGAAAAAAGATCCTTCATCCATTTTTTCCTCACTTTGCCATGGTCCATAGAAGCAGTTAAGCTCCCTCATTTCCAGACTCACTCCATGTAGCCATAACATTAGCCATTAAAGTTTAATAGATGTTCCAAATTAGCTTTAACACAGTCTCTGTACATGCTTTATTTATATAAGTGACAGTGTACCAGCAGTGTACCAGTGTTAAAAATGCATGAAACATTTAGAAACTCCTTCCCCTGGATCAGCATTCCCTTTGTGACAACAGTCCTCTAGACACCAGAATGACAAGGAAATAAGAGTAGCAGGAATGCCTCTGTGTATCAGCTGCTTTCCCTGTGACAATATGTTTAACAGGATTCAGCTTCTCAGAGTTAATTAAGTTGTTTTCAACTGCTCAGAAGTCAGAGTGTTGAATTTGGATGTCACAGAGTGTTGTGAGGGCTGACAGAACGATGACAGGTTCCTCCCTTTGGGCCAGTGTAGACGGATAGATTAGCTACAGGCACTCAACCTCAAAGATGTCTGCATGAAACTGCTGTGACAATATGACAATGGAATAACCATGTAAGTCCCTGGGTTTTGCATCTTACTTTAATATATCAAGAGCAATGCCAGCACACTTATGACTGGTACTTAACTTAAATTGGACCAAGAAAGGAAATTTATTTCCATTTCCAACATTTTACACATCTGTTTAAAGTAAATTGGGGGGCTGGGTTCTTATGTAGAATTATTCCAAACACAGTTATTGAGCAATCCTCAGAATTTATCAGATAAACATGGACTCGACTTCTGAGGTTTCAATGTACTTTTTCTAGATTTTTACAAGATTTGAACATTTATTCTTCCATTTCTGAGACAAATTCAATGAGCTACCTGGCCCAGGTGAGAAATTCAGATAATCTTGTCTCCAGGTCATTTCAGGAGATCCCAACGCATTCTTAGCTTGGAAAGATATAGTCCCTCCAGTGAGGTCATTTAATGTAGAGGCCCATATTCACCAATCCACCTCTTGCTCCATCCCACCATGGCTACAGAACAAGATAACAAAATAATTCAAGTCGGCATCTAAAACCTGCAGGATACAGATCTTTAAGGAGTAGAGTTGGACTCCCATGCCGGCAGATAGCACAACATGGTTCACAAGTACATAATGCTGAGTCAGTGCAACATAACCAGCCAGCTAATATGATGTGATAACGCGTATATTAAAAAAAACAAACATACTTTTAGCTTTTATTTAGGCTATTTGGTTAGTAGGTTTCAACCTCAGTTAGGTTTCAACCTCAGTTTGATTATTGTACCTTTAAAATCAGCTTTCTGATGTGTAACAGTTGTGTTGTACACTAATCTTGCAAGGACATCATTTTTATTCACATGCTCCTTTGAATAATCTGCTGAAACATGCTCTCTTTTACCAAGGACACATGTAAAAAATGACCCTCCCTGGAGTTCTCCTTGATTAGAAGTTTTGTAAATCAAATTATATTTTTTCTGCAAAATAATGAAGCAGAAAAATCCCAAATACCAGTGCGATGGTTAAATTATTCATAACTACTTTTTCAGATTGTGAATCAGATGTAAAGTTTGAAATAAATTATTGAGTAAGTCTAGAGATTTAAATAAGCAACTTAAACTTTTTTAATAGTCACGACAAAGAGGAAAAATGTGTTATATGCAGAGCAGTGGTCACTTTCTTAACTTTTATAGAGATTTTTTTTTATCTAATACTAACATTCCACACTAAGACAAAAACATAAAAAAACACTATCAGTTTCTGATTAGCTCGCTGACTTTATAATACACATTGGTTTCTAACTAATTTTTTGCAAGTAGACAGTGAACTCTAGCAGAAACTTAAAGGATTATGCACTTTCCAGGAAGATTGTGCCACTGATCCTGATCATTAAAATTTGTAATAAAAAAACGCTCATTAGTTTTGTACAAACATTTTGCCCGGTTCATTGACACAGGAGGGTTCGTGGAGCAGCCAACAGATGAGCTCAGTGGTACATCCTGTACAGGATGTCAGTCCTGTACAGACACGAAGTACAGAAAACTCACACCTACTGGGCAATCACAAGGGGCCAATAAACCCAAGATGAATGTAATATGTCTGGATTTTGGGAGGAAACACTTAACCTCATACTGCACCTCGATCCACCGAAAGACTTCTCTGTCAGTATAGTGAATAAACAATATAGCTAACATTTACATCTGAGGATCTTTGCTTGGTTAAAATATTGGTTTTCTAAAGGCTTTTGTATTTCTAAGTGTAATAAGATAGCCATTAACACCCTAGTAAGATGCATTTACAATATATCATTGGCAAATTTAATGCAAAACTTGCAGGGATCACAGATTGGAACATATTTATGTTCAAAAACTTCATTTGATTCAATTGACCAATTTTGAATCAAAATTGGTCATTTGTGTAGAGGGAAATTTTGTGCTTTCCCTCTACAATACTAGTAAAAAAAAAAGTTTTGCCTTTTGAGTGGAAAAAGCTTTTTTTATTGCAGAAATAGAAAATAAGAAAACATTCTTTAAAAAAGCTCCTTCTGACGTATGTGGCGCTTTATCATATGTATTCAGCAATACAATTATTTAATTATTGATTAATTGTTTAATTGTTATTTATTTAGCTGCATTCAGAAATTATTTTCTTTGGATGCGTTACTCCCTGCAAACACATGGTGGCAGCATCAATACGTGGACAACATTTTGTTTTCGTCTGAGAATTCTTTTCATTCTCAATTTTCATTTTGTCTGCACATAAACTGAGTTTAAAATTGTACCTCTGTAAAAGCGGGAAATTTACATTAAAATGTTCTACATATCCTCCACCTACATGCCGCCAGTAAAATCACATTAGGAATAATTTAGCCACTTCGCATTTGTACATTTGTATCTTTACTGTTGATTTCCTTCTCCCCTAGAAATAAAGTAGGTAAATAAAGCTGGAAAACATTTCCCACTTTATTTGAGAATAAGTCAGCTGCCCCCTTTTACCCGGAAGTGTATCTGTTCCACATCCGGGTTAGGAACTGTTTACTATCGAGATGCCAGTGAACTAATGCTAAGTTTGGACAGCGAAAAGTTGGTTCGCAGTGGCGCTATTTGATTCAATCGTTGCACTTTTAGTTAAAATGGCATCCCAAATCCCAATAACGGTGAGGGCGCAACCTCCGACCGCAAGTGCTGCGGCTGTCCGGGGGAAGAAGCGTCCAGGCAGCCCGGCGGCTTCAGGCGCTCAGCAGGCCGCAGTGAACAGCAGCAACAGCGGCAGCAAAAAGAAGAAGCCCCCGCTGACAGTCACACCAGCCGCACAGACGCAGGTGAAACCAGTGACTCACTTTCGGAGATGGAGATCATCCGGTTGCTTATGCGTTCATATAAGCAAACTTTAACCCAGTTCAGTCATGTTAAATGATTTCAGATGGATCCTCTGTGTCCTCTTTCCTTTCAGTAATCATTGAACCATCCTATAAGTATTTTCCAACAAGTTCTAAGGTTATCCTATCTAAGTGTTAGCTGGTTTTACATTCAAATTGACTTCTGTTCTTTGTTGATGTAATATAGATGAAAAATGATGAATGTATTTAGTTTTGATGCATTGAGCGAGCAGAAAAAATGTATTTTCAGCACTTAAACTGTTCAATCAAAGCTGGCCTGAGATGATGACTCTTTGTTCTTTTTTGTCTAGAAAGCAGAATTAAAGCTATTGTGGGCAGAATAATAATAAAAAAAGGTTAATAAGTTATCAATGGTCTTGTAAAAGAAGTATGCCATCATTCTTTTTGCGGGGATTTATTTATGAGGATATTTGTCCCGTAATTTTGGGGTTTTACTGTAACTAGATTTTCAGTGATGCAGAGATAAACAGTAATTTTAGGCAAAATTGTAGTAGACCGTTCATCATGTTTGGCACCTGTATGAATGTTGCATGTCTTCAGATAACTGCAGTTGAAACTGTGGTGGAAATGAAGACAGTGGGATCAGTGGACAGCACTCCGATTACTGCAGAGACTGTCGTAAAGGCTCCTCCTTTCAAAGACAACACATTTATGGTGAGTGCCGTCAGTCAACTGGATTACATTTATCCCCTCCTTTTACTTCTCGTTCAGTTTCTCTGCATTTCTTCTGTTTTTCACGTTCATTTTGGCAGCACTCAGGAATTGGTGGAGCAGCAGCCGGCAAAAAGAACAGGACTTGGAAAAATCTTAAACAGATTCTGGCGTTGGAGCGGACCTTACCTTGGAGGCTCAATGATCCCAACTGTGAGTTTAATTAGTTAAAGCAGTCATACTAAGGAAAGCTGGCTAATACGTTAATAAATAACTATGTCTTGGCTTAAATCACTACTATATTTTCTAAATCTTCTATGGTTTCAGATTACAACATCGATGCTCCTCCCTCTTTAAAACCAGCAAAGAAATACTCAGACATCTCTGGCTTACCTGTAAGTAATCAATCAACCGAAGACAATGTAACTTTATTCAGTTCTTGTCGAAAGCAAAATCTGACCACAATCAACTGCATTTCCCCAGGCAAACTACACAGATCCACAGACAAAGTTGCGCTTCACATCATCTGAAGAATTCTCCTACATCCGTCTCCTTCCCACCGATGTGGTTACAGGATACTTGACCCTTCGAAAGGCAACATGCATCGTGCCGTGACCGGCGAGCAAAGCTAAAAGTTTAACAACTTGTTGCAACCAGTGATGGACTTGCTTCAGTGGACGTAGCAGCAGAGGAACAAGGCATAAATGTGGGACTGCAGAAAGTCGCTGCTGAAGTGCAGCAACTTTATCACTGCAGTGATGAAGACAGCAGTCAGAGTTGTTACTAATAATACTGTCAGTTACTCTAATGCGTTCTAGTCAATCTTCTGGGAGTTTCCGAGATTGTCTGAAGACATTCTAACAGAATACCAAGCAAACATTTTTAATTTATTGGTGGAGCAGAAAAATGTAAAGCTCAGCAAAGGTGTATACTTTTTCTTAAATGCGTTAAGGTGTTTTTCCAGGAATTGCTTGCTAATCTTTGGAAAATTAGAATGGCTCCACTTGGTACTGCTCCCGTTAGAGTTCCTCCATAGTTTCATTTATAACTTAAGAATATCATACACTCTAATAAGGATCGGAGAGCCTTTTGTTAAAATAGAGATCCACAACATGACAGATCCTCTGTCATACCTAACAGTGGGCATTAGGCCCTTGTCTTGTTGTTCATGTTTGGATTTTATGCTAGACTCATCTGGAGTGTGTTACTCTTCGCCTTATCTCACAAAAGCATATGGTCCGAGTTAAAACCCTAGCCGAGGTCGGCAATCTCCAGGTTTACATTTGTGATTGTAGGACATGAAAGACTTTTTATTGAAATGCCTCTCAAAGAAACAACATGGCATCTAATGCATATTATGGGGACTTGGTTTTCTGTTTCAGTTCAGTGACTGTGGTGAGCTTTACCAACTCTTTACTTTCCTGACCATCCTCCAAGCTTTGCATGTAAACAAGATACATTAGATTCTCATCCAGCCAAAAGCTAAAATAAATGATTGGCTTATTTTTACCTCAGGGAAACAGGAAGTCGTCACACATTTTGAAATAAAAGTTTCTAACAACGTTGATTACCTTAAAAGTGCTTGGTAATGGTTTTGTTGCTGAAAGTGATGCAGGCTATGTTTTGTAAAATATATTGAGCATGAATAAAGTCAGTGTATACAAACCTGTTGGAATTGCTGCTTTCCTCAGTTTTTGGTGATGTTTTAATAAGTTCTACTATCAAAAACAACTTGTATTAAATAAGTCACTATTGTGTTAAAATATATTTCTAGCTCAACATGTTTATGAAAGAATACTTTATGGTTATTGCAGTTACCCACAACAAAGTTATTTCCAGTTTCCTCAGAAAATTCAACTTGCCATCTAGTTAATCTCCACAGGTTCACCTATTTGTAGAATTTGCCCTCTAACTTGTACAGTGAGACTGTCATTGATCACATTAGGAGAGAGCCAGGAGGAAAGAGAGCAGCGTTTCCCATGAGTGTGATCCCTTTTATGCAAATATAGAGATACAAATATCAAAAGATAATTTTAGGATTTTTTTCCTTTTTATTCATGGCTGACTAGTTAGCACAGAGTGTTGTTTTAACAAGAAAGCATATTGCAAAATTTTGGAAAACTTGTGTATCCTTGACCTTTTACAGTGGGTAAGATAAATACTTGTTTTCCCTCTGAATTTGTAAGTTTACCCTCTAAATGTTACCAGGCTGTAATTTAAGTGGTAGTTTGCAAAGTTTCTATTTAATTTGATCATCATTCAGTGAAATAAGTCATAATTTCTGCACAAACAAGCTAGAACTTTGCCTTTGATTAAGCTTGGTCTATAAGCTCGAAACCATTCAGATATTTATGCTAAACTGGTAATGTGTATGAAGCATGTCTGTCCACAGAATTGTTCCCTTCATTTTAAGTTTTAAATGATCCAAAACCAAACGGCAATCAAATCATGTCCAAGACAACACAGTTGATCAGCACCAGCCTGAAATGGGTAACATAACCATCAGCTAAAAGATATTTGATGAGTTGACAGCTGCCTCTCTGTCCAAGATCAGGAGGTTGCAAACATTCCTCTACCAAGGCAGACTGCTGAGCTAATTCTGATTGCCAAAGTGACGTGAAGTCACTCATTTGCAGCTTTCTTACTGTGGCACATTCTGAAAAAGCTCCAGCGGGATTTACTGAGGAGGCATCATAAACTCGTATGGCTGAAACTCGTATAGCTGACTCTTGGCAATGTGGAGGGGGAGAGCTCAGACTCCTTCACTTGATGTAAAGAGAACCGAGCCTCTGACTGAGATGAGCTGGCTCTTTCCTGGACCCTTCACTCTCTGCTACAAACTCCTCCAGTTCACAATCCAACACTGAAGAGCTGTGTTAACTAAGGCAGCCTCACATTGTCCAGAACTTATTACATCTTGGAATTAATATCATCCACCTTTGGTGCCAGGATGATGCTGTTGAAATTACTGGGAATTGGAAGAAATTTAAGTGACTCTTAATTGACTGTTAATTATGCTCAGTTCAAAGCTTCATGCATATTAAAGATCACCCAAGATTTTGATTACTGAATCAGGATGATGACAGAATCATCTTGATTCAGTCATCATCCTGATTACTGAAGATGGCTCTTGGATTGGTCTTCCAGAATGACAACCCAAAACCTCCAATAAAAGATATCAAAGGATTGGCCATAGCAGAACCATGTTGGAGTCATGAACTTTTTCAGACATCTTCCAGACCTCAGTTCAACAGAAAAACTGTGCAGCAAGCTGGAGCTTTGAAACATGGCCAAAATCCCTTCTGAAATGTTTGCAAACCTACGACCAAAAGGATCTTATAGCAGTGCTTACCGATACAATTTTTCTCAAAGTTAAAAATGTGTTTTTTTGATGAGATGAAATGCATACATCGCTAAATAGTATTCAAATCAATTCTCATTTTCATGTAATGTGTCTTTTTTCTTTATTTTTGGTAACTCCATTAAAATTGAGCCAAAATGAAAATTAAATACTGAAACCATTTCAGCTGGAGATCGAACAGGTTTATTTCCCTCCCCTGTACTGTTTATAATGGCCACTAAGAAATGCAATTTCTGATGAAAACAAATGAGAAGCCTCGCTCGTGGCTGAGTGTTATTTCCTTCTGGTCTGAACTCGAGCAGAGCTGATGAGGGCAGTATAGTATATCTGTTAAAGTCAGAGCAGCATTTTCATTCCTGCTGTGGCATCAAAACCTCAACATGGTGATTAATGAATAGTGTCAGAGCTTTCCACTACCCAAGCACACGAGCCAGCAGAGTGTGTCCCAGTGCAGGAGCAGGCAGGTGTTTGTGCTCATTGGGGCTTCCTTTCAGTGTTTGGGTTGTCCTGAGTTTAGACAAAGAGATTTTAGGTATGGAAGTGACATTATCTAAGAGGCACGGTATGCATACCTAAATATTCTAAATATTTTAACCCTTTTTCTCAAGCAGTCTGTTTTTGGTGACTTGTAAAAAAAAAAAAAAAAAAAAAAAAATTACTGCTCAAAGACGTGTTTGCAGTTACACATTTCCACCACCAGGGTGCGCCAAAGTTTTTCTCACCCAATATTTGTATTTATTCAGCCAGAGTCCCTTCTAAACAAGTGCTTGTTGATAGATACTGGTGAGAGGTCACTAATAAAATCCACATTGCAGAGGCAGTCAGTCAGATTGTCTTTGTAAGGTGGAAGAGATTTCCAGAGTCTTGGAATGACTGAGCAAATGACCATGTCCCCTGTAGTGTTCAGTTCTGTATGGGGGACTATAAGGATGCAGTCGTCATCTGACGTAAGCGGGTGCTTGTCCATGTAGAGCTCTCTGGGTCAAATGCAGAAACATGAAATGCACTCAGAAATATAACTAGAGTCAATGTAGCTGCACTTGCCGTGGAGTCAGGAGAAAAATGGGAAGATTTAGAGTAAATACAAATACACAGAATTTTTTTTTTTTCAAAAATTTGTTAATTTATTGGTTTCTTTCCTCTCCGTCGTTATAGACTACATTGTTTTGGTCTTTTCAATTCCAATAAAACACCTGGAAGTTTGTTGCTGTAGACACGTGCCAAAGTGAATTTTTAGCAAAGCATTGCACTACTGTCACAGTTTATTTAGTACAGACATGGGTTTACACAGGCAACAGACTACAAAGAGTCAATGACAGACTTCCAAATCTGACTCATAAGCAGACAGAATAAACTGGCTGATGACAATCATTACTAATTTTAGGATGGATGTGGAAGTGGATGTAAGCAGTTGAGAGCTGCAGCTCAATCATATAATAACCATCATTATGACATTGATTGTGATGCACTTTGAAGGCTCATCTTGGAGTGATGGAGGATTCAGCACCTGCTGCACTGCAAAAGAGATGTCATGGAGCTCACACAGTAGCTGACCTGAAATCAATGAGACAACCATCAGTTGTTTTTGTTTACAAGTGTTTGCTTCACTGAACTTCTGCAAGCTCATGCTGAACACTGCAGACACTCCATTGCTTGTTTACACACAGTCCGTCTTTGGGCGTTAGTCATTTTATTACTAGCTGCTAATCATATTAGATTTAGTATTGTGATCATAATAATGCTTATGCACTGCTGTAGAGCTTTCATTGACTGAACATAATAAGAATTACTTGAATTACTTTTTTCTATTGTCCTTGAAGAGGAATTAGGCATTTTCCTAATGCTCAAAGTAGCCTCGAGAAGTAGTTCGCTGAAAGATGTTTTAAATTAAGAGCAATCACAGACAAATAATAGCCAAAACCAGTATTTAGTGGTTAACAAAATATTAAGCAGAGTCTAAAGCAATGGAGTCTGACTGGAATGACATAAACACACAAAGAATAGCTTTCTCTGAACAATTAAAAAATCATTGCAGGGAAAAGAGAAATAAGTCAATGTCAGATAGGTGTAAGTTAAGACAGATTGGACTCATGTCTCGGCTAGGCAAGGACACAGTGGTGTCCCTAGATTGTTCTCAAAGCAGTGGCCAGATGGGAGCTTCAAATAATTCAGGGTTGGCAGAGCAATCACTTCTGAACACCTTCTTACAGTCCTTTTTCCTCAAAGAAAGAAAATACTTGTTTTTATCGCTCTGGGTTATCTTCATCTTAAAATTAAAATTGGGTTAAATTTGAAAAATGAAACAGTGACAAATAAAGTAACAAATACAAAATTCAATCAGTCGGGGAGCAAATACTTTCTCTCAGCAGTGTGTTGATCACTATTATTCTCCCATGTCTCTTTTTACCTTCACCGGCATCACAGCTTCCTCATGTGTGAGGGCGTCTTTAATCACCGCTCTTCTTCTTTGACTTCATGGCAAGCCTTTGCCCTTCACCACCTTCATCTGTCTACTTCGTCACCTCTTTTGTGATTTGTCACCACCCTAACAGGGACAAACCACATGAAAAGTGACTTTTTGCCCAGAAGTGATCATGCCGTGGTTGCTCACACAGTATCACAGTTTTATGGTTCATTTAACCAAGAAGAAACACTGATCGCTGTCTCAAGGAGGCCTATGGCAGTGATTTTCCTCCTCCCGCTCGAATGCAGCAGAAGCAAACGGGCCCAGTTCCCAGTTTTTATTGGGCTGTAGAGGTCAAGCTACAAGGTGTCATCAGATAACTAATCAACTCATTCAGATATCATTACACTGGGCTAAATCCCTGTTAATCCCACAGAAGATTGAATCAGTTTTCCCTTGCAGGTCAGCTTGTTTCTCTTTGTGTGTACGTGTACTTGCATGAAGGCTAAAGGGACAGAGAGAAAGGTAATTCTTCATGTTGATAGACAATGATTGTCCTTCAGTGAGCAATATTCGGCATCTCCTCGATGTCCTTCCCTTCGTTTTCCTGACGGCTCCTCTAACTCCTCTTTAGGCTCTTATTTAGACTCCTACAGTTGGTGCTGCTCTTTTGTACTAATACCATATTTACCTCTCAAATGGCCAGTTTCACCATTGGTATATCAACATATATTTTGTGTAGGACACATTTTCCTCCTGTTCAAACTTGTATTCAATAAAGAAAACCCGACTCCATCTATGGTTGATGAGAATGTCATTAAGAATTTGGATGTAATTAGTTTTTTTAATAATCTGAAATATGTTAGTAGATATTAACCACTGAGATTCTTATTTTAAAGACATTTTCTTGTAGATTTTAAAGGGCAAATACTGAAATTGTGAAAAAAATACAGTAAATTTGGCTCACATAAATTCAGTTGAGTTATGTGTAGTTTGGTTTAATTTAATCTACTGAATTTCATCTTAATTCTTGTCAATGTGATATAATTCAACTAATTTCGCTTTGCTGTCATTTAGTTCAGTTCAATTCAACTTACAGTTAAATTCAAATAAGACTGGATTCAGTTCAATGTGGATTCAGTTCCAGTCAGTTCATTTTAGTTCAGTCTAGTTCAGTTAAATTCGATTTAAACTGATAAGGTTAACTGGATGTAATTACATTTTTTTGTATCTGATTTAATTTTACTAAATGTGATTTAACTGAAACCCAATCTGTTCAACTCAATTCAGTTCAGTTCAGATTAGTTCAGTTCAGTTCAGTTTCATTCAATGCAAATAACACGTTTACATTACAGTCAAACAACAGTTTGAATTCTGCTAAACAACCAGAGTCAATATAACAAGAAGGTTGCATCAAATCTTAACATTCCTCTGAAACAAACGTGAGTCAACAGAGTGGAAGACCGACTCCTAAGAAGAAAACTTCATCCAAACCAGACTCCAATATTTTGTCACTTGCCTCAATTGCATTGGGACTGCTACCTATTATGAAGTAAATGGAACAACCTATATAGATAGAAACCTACCTCCCTACCTGTCTGTCGGCTGGATTAGCTCCATCTATCAGACAAACCTAGATTCTGGTGAATATGGTCCCGTTGTATGGAAACAGAGGTAATAGCAGGGATGTGACCCTGCAACCTTCCCAACGACAGATGAAACCAATCTCACCTACCAGAGACAGACCATCTATTCATACCTACCATGGTGAGTGTATACATGTGTGTGTGTGTGTTTTTGAGAGAGAGTGGGATGATAATACCCATCCATTCACACTCCTGCTGGTGATGCAACTCAATGCCTCACTGTGCCTAAAAGCTATTATATGTCAGGACTGAATTTGTGTGTTTTCAGCTGTTTGTGTGAGTGCGTGTGTAACTTCAAACCTGTGTCTCAGAGCAGATATTTTATCACCAGCTCAGCTCTGAAAGCCAATTTGCTGTCTGATGGCTGTTGTTTGAATTTCAGTCGCCATCTCGAAAAATGATCTCGTGTGACTTTGAATGAACTTGTAAATACTCATGTTTCTCCAGGAAGTGTCTGATGCCTCTTTCGAGACCATTTTACATAGATCTTTTATGCAAAACTGAATCAGATAGTATAAAGGGAGAGTACGACTTTGAGTTTTATTTGTTCATAGCAGAAATAAAATCCTGTAGCCATAAATAAATAAAAAAACAACTGCTTACTTGTTCTAAATTATAGTGGTAGAGAGGAGTTTATATCAATAATTCAGAGGCTTTATGAGAAAGACTACCTCCAATAACTGCTGTTTTACTGTGTGTCTCCAAGCCATTTTTATATATTGGATACACCGCAGAGAAAGAAAAGAGATAATTGGATTGAGTTTTGGGGTAATACAGAAGTTACAGGCTCAGTCTGTGTGAATGTGTCAGTTTGGACTTATTTCTTTTTTTTTTTTTTACAACTCTGGTCCACTGTGTCCTTGAAGAAGAGAAACTTCTCACTGATTCCGACAGAAAAAAAAACGAATTCACCCCGTAAGCTTCAACATGTCCAATGCCCTCAGACACATCTGTGAATATATAAGGAACAGATTGAGACAAATGTACCTGGTGAGAAAGAGCAACTACCCCAAGTTCTCCTACAGACACACATTCAGATGCAGAGTTAGTGTTTTGAGGGAGTGTGATGGTAAATGAGGTGGGAAATGAAGAGTCGGAGATGTTGGAAGATTCCTTCCCCAGGGAACCTTTACAGCAGCCTGACAAAGACAAGATGGATCAGGACAGACGAAACCAAAGCTTTAAGAGTCACTGCAGAAAACGCCCCTGGTGGCCAGAATATGCTATTTTTGTAACTCAAATTTGTTAAGGGGAGAGTGGGGGCTTTGGCAGTAAATTTTTTTCTTTTTATTTATGTTATATTAAAAAAAGCAACACCATTTTCGTTCCCTTTTAGAACAAAATTTGAAGTTCACATGATTGAGATAGATTGGGGTGAGGTTATGTATAATATATAAAATCAATGAAAGAGCCACTTGTGTCTCCAGACATTCAGGTCGCAGATCCCTGACCTATCAGATGGAAAATGTGATCCTATCTAAGGCTGTTGGAAACGAATATTTTAGTAATCGAGTAACCTATGGATTATTCATACGATTAATTGAGTAATTGGATAAAAATTGGAGTAATTGGATTATTATTATTTCTACATACAGAAATATTTTAAGATATCTAATACGAAACACATAAGAAAATACCAAAAGTGTCATGATCTGTGTGTGCTCCATTGCTTATTGTTGTCATCATCGTTTTTCTCTGTAGATTCATTCGTTTGTGTTGAATTTCTTAGTTCTTCCTTGTGTTCTGTTCTCTCTATATTTTGGCTAACACTCTTATTTTAGTTCTAGTATTTTCCCCTTTGGTTTTTTGTATTCTTTTCCTTTTATTTGTCCTCTGTAAATATTCTGTTTATCTGTCACTATTTCTCAGCTGTTCTGCATTCTTCAGATTAATCTCCCCTCCACTGTATTTAAGCTTCCTGATTTCATTATTCATTGCTTGTTACTTTGGATGCACTCAGCCCAGTTCTCCTATCTTTTTGCCACTGGTTCCACATGAGGCAAAATATACTTATTATTTTACTAAAGTAAATAAGCTCAATAATACCAGTTTCTACAGTTTCTTCCACCATAACATAAATTCAAATTATAGGTCAATTCAATTAGATCCAATTGCATGCTCAGTGGCTTGGTCCAGGAGAGAAACATTTGTGAATCCTTTTCAAAGTGACGAGAAAGAACTTTAATAAAGTCCTCAGCATCACCATCACCAATATAAATTTGCTGATTTTTCCTGTAAAAAATTAGCAAGAAAAAGTGCTCAGTGTGCAATCTCTTTTCTTATCAAAAATCAGAAAAATAAATCAAGTTAGCAGTTTACAGATTTACAAACAAATTAAATGGAACCAAGACAATTCAAAATGAATAAAAATGTTTTCATCTAAGTCTATCGCTTGACAAATATCTCATTGGCAAATTCAAGCTGTGGATTAAACACTGAGACTCATATTTATCACAGATCAAAAAGCTACAAATCTTTTTATGTAAACATTTCTGCATGTTCCCAGAACATAGAACTGTGTTTACATTAATTAAAAATACACACAACTATAAAAAAGCAGGTCTCTTCACTGATTTAAGGAGAAGTCAGATGGCAATAGAATCAGAGTAGATATGATGCTTCAATTCTAACTTGGAGATGTTCTTAACAGGCAGTCAATGGGCCAGCAAAATAACCAGAGAATGACAAAGCCCACGTATTAATACTTGTTTGGACAGGTTTCAAAGTAAACAAGCTGGTTAGGGTTGGTGATGGGAATTGTCTGGCCTCAAATTTGGGTATAAGGTGAAGATAAAAAATTATTTTCACCTTTGGTCAATTTAAAGTGTGCAGGAACACGGCATTCTGTTGTTTTGTTCTGGTACCTGTTCTGAAACCAGTCGTAAGTAACATTAGTCAGCACTAACTCAGCAGTATAAAGTTCCAAATACAGGACATGGTATTTTTCTTTTATGGCCATGGCTAATATTATTATCCCTGGCTTGACTGCTGTAGCAGGTCACTTAATTCTATTGGAGATGCATAAAGCCTTCCTCTCCTCCACCAGACTCCATTACAATCGGGTCTTATCTTCTCTAATATGCCCTGCTGTTAATGAACAATCAGTCCTGTTAATGTCCTGCTAATTAATGGCCCATCAGCCTCTTCAGAGTGGTAATTAAGTGCCAGTTGAGGCGTCTAATTGGCATGATTTCTCACTGTATCAAGTCAAGCCTGACCCTCTTGGGACACAGGAAGTGAGTTATAGTGTCGTCATCCAAGTGGAGGACTTTCACAAAGAATGCTGACTTGCTCATTTAAGGAACAGAATCCTCTCGCTAAACTGAGCAGTAGCCAACTGGGAGAGAGTGTCGCTTGACCAACATTGTCAGGGGACAAATCGTCAAGCCTGTAAGAAGCAGTTCTCTGCAGAGAAGAAGACGTCTTTTTAATCAACACTTCTCAAGCTGTAGAGTAAGATCTAGTGTCACTGTGAATTTAATTATTGAACATTAG